GAGCCTGGCACCTTTACCTGTCTGCCCTGCTCCCCTTCCAGGACCTGTCTTACCCCTTTGAGCCTGGCACCTTTACCTGTCTCCCCCGCCCCCCTTCCAGGACCTGCCTTACCCCTTCGAGCCTGGCACCTTTACCCCTGTCTCTCCCCCCCCTTCCAGGACCTGCCTTACCCCTTCGAGCCTGGCACCTTTACCTGTCTCTCTCTCCCCCGCTCCCCTTCCAGGACCTGCCTTACCCCTTCGAGCCTGGCACCTTTACCTGTCTCTCCCCCCCCTTCCCAGCCCCGCCCTACCCCCTCCCTGGGTCCTCCCCCCCCCCCTAGGAGCTGCCTTACCCCTTAGAGCCTGGCACCGCTTACCCGCCTCTACCAGGGGCTGCCACTTCCGGACCTACCTTACCATTTTAGAGCCTGGCACCCCTTGTCTGGCTCCCTCCTTTCTGCCTCCCTAGGGACTGGCAGCCTCCATCCTAGGGCCAGACAGCTACCTGTCCCCCTCTCCCTGCTGCACAGGCCCTGGCTTCCTCTTGCCTGCCACCCACCCTCCTTAGAGCCTGGTACCCATCACCTGTTCCTGCCTCCGGGGCCTGGCACCCCTGTTGGGTGTTGGCACCTTCACTCATCTCCATTAGGGCCTGGCATTAGCCACCTGCCTCCACCAAGTTTGGCAGCCTGCCCTTGCCAGGGTTGGCACCATAGGGACTATCACCCACCCCTTAGAGATTGACACCCCCACCAGACCTGGCATCCCACACCCTTTCCTTCCCCTCTTGCTTGGATCAGTCACACAGCCTCCCCCACCATCAAGGGGGCAACTAGAATTTTGCTAAAGAGGGTGCCCTACCATTATGCCAGCCAGTTCTAGTCAGGGGGTGCTGTTCTGCCTGCCCTCCCACCCTTGTTGTGTTCCTGCTTGATATTTGAGTTTTCATGAGAAGTTATACAGCAAAGAAAAGCTAGTGTGAAACTCAAATCCTTGCAAGCTGCATGGAAGCTTTTTTTAAAGACCCCATTATAGAGGCTTAAATTCAATACATAACCCAATTTAAAAAATATAGTAAAGTGCTACTGTGGCTAAGCAATAAAGTCAAAGTAGAAATTAAATTCTACTGAGAAAAACAGAAAAGAATATAAACTCTGGCAAGTGAAGTGTAAAAATATAACTAGGAAAGATAAAAAAAGAATATGAAGAACAGTTAGCCAAAGACTCAGAAAGTTTAACATTAAAAAAAAAAATCAGAAGTAGGAAGCTAAACAATCAGTGGGGTCACTCAAGGTGGGTAAATCATTTAATTTTTCCACTGCTGAGAATACGATGGACATTCCCAAACCTGAGCCATTCTTTTTAGATGTCAAATCTAAGGAATAGTCTGAGATTGAGGTGTCATTAGAGGAAGTTTTGGAACAAACTGATAAACATTAATAAGTCACCAGCACCAGATGGTATCACCCAAGAGTTCGGAAGTAACTCAAATGTGAAATTGAGCTACTAACCGGTATGTAACCTGTTTTTAAAATCAACTTCTGTACTTCAGGTTGCCTCATGTTAAAAAAGGTACAGAAAAGGGCAACAGAAATGATGAGGGGGATGGAGATTAACGAGACTTGGTTACGTTTACACTGCACACCTGAAAATTGCACAGCTGAGCTACTGCAACCACGTTGTTGTAAAGCACACAGTGCAGCCCTCTGTGACCAGGAAAGAGCCCACGGCCCTTAGCTGTCTTTTCCAACTCCAAAGGTCCATGCCATGTCTACACTGCACTTTTGCTGAAAAACACCCCCTGCACAACAAAAGTTTGAACAATTAAATGCGCCAGAGTGGACAGCACTTCATTGGCAAGGAAATGCTCTCCCACCGACAAAGCCACGACCCCTCATTTGGGGGAGAGTGTATTTTGTTGCCTGGAGAGCTCTCTCCCAGGAACAAAGAGCAGCTACACTGCGGTTTTCACAATGGCACAGCTGCAGTGTCACAGCCATGCTGTTGTAAAATACACAGTGTAGGCACAGTCTAAGGGGAGATATGGTAGAAGTCTATAAAATCATGACGGGTGTGGAGAAAGTAAATAAGGAAGTGTTAATTACTCTTTCATGTACATGCACAGGTTGACATGAACAAACAACAATATGTGACATATAACCTCCACCATGCAGAACACAACACTATACACAGCTTCAAAAACAATTCTAAGATTATAATCAAAGAGGCTGACAAAGGGGGTGCTATAGTCATCAAGAACAGGACAGATTACAAACAGGAGGCTGCAAGAAAACTCATCAACACCACATTCTACAGGCCTCTTTCCTCTGATCCCACTGAAGAATACTCAGAAAAACCCTACACCATCTGCTCATGAAACTTGGGATGAAATCTATACAAACCCCTTGCTAAATCTCTAACCAGGAGTTTTCTATCTGCTACCCAAGATCCATAAACCTGGAAATCCCGGATGTCCTATCATCTCAGGCTTCAGCACACTTACAGCAGAATTATCTGGTTATGTTGACTCTCTCCTCAGACTCTATGCTATCAGCACTCCTAGCTACCTTCAAAACATCACTGACTTGCTAAGGAAACTACAGAACATCAGTAATCTTCCTGAAAACACCATCCTGGCCACCATGGATATAGAAGCTCTTTACTCCAACTTTCCACATGATGATTATTACTAGCTGTCAGGAACACTATCCCTGATGAGGCTACTGCACACCTGGTTACTGTGCACTGTGACTTTGTCCTCACCCACAACTATTTCCAATTTGGGACCATTTATATCTTCAAGTCAGCAGCACAGCTATGGGCACCCACATGGCCCCACAATATGCCAGTGTCTTTATGGCTGATCTCAAACATTTCCTCAGCTCTCACCCCCTAGTATCCGTACTTTACTTATGCTACATTGACGACATCTTTGTTATATGGAACCACAGGACGAAACCCTTGAAGAATTCCACAGGGATTTCAACAACTTCCATACCACTATCAACCTTAGCCTGGACCAGTTCACACAAGAGATCCATTTCCTTGACACTACAGTACAATGAAATGATGGCCACATTTCCACCACCCTACATCAGAAACCTAATGACCATTATTCTCAGCTACATACCTCTAGCTTCCATCCAGGACATGTTACACAATCGTTTACAGACAGGCTCTAAGATACAACCGGATTTGCTCCAATCTGACAGACAGAGACAAACACCTACAGGATCTCTATCAGGCATTCTTAAAACTTAAATACTCACCTGGGTAAGTGAAAAAACAACCTGATAGAGCCAGATGAGTACCCAGGCATCTGTTTCTTCAAGATAGGCCCAACAAGCAAAATAACAGAACACCACTGATCATCACCTACAGCCCCCAATGTAAACCTCTCCAACACATCATTAAGAATTTACAACCTATCCTGGAAAATGATCCCTCCCTCTCACAGGCCTTTGGAGACAGGCCAATCCTTGCCTACAGACAACCCCCTAATGCAGCGGTTCACAACCTTTTCTAGATGGGGATCCACTTTGACAATTCAGGAAGAATTGACCCAAGTCAATTAAAAAACAGGGGTAGGAGGAGGGGCAGAGCCACCTGGGGAGACACTTGGAGACTCTTTTGAAATGTAACGGCGACCCATATTTGGGTCACAACCCATAGGTTGGGAAACCCTGCCCTAACCTGAAGCAAATCCTTTCCAGCAACTATGCATCACCCCTCAAACATACTCACCCAGGTACCTACCCCTGCCATAAACTCCATTGCCAACTCTGTCCACGCATCTATACAAGCGGCATCATCACCGGACCTAAACCACATAAGCCACAATATCAGAGGCTCATACAACTGCACATCCACTAATGCAATATATGCCATCAAGTGCCTGCAATGCCTTTCTGCCATGTATATTGGCTAAACTGGACAGTCTACGATAAATGATCAATGGACACAAATCAGATATTAGAAATGGTAACATACAGAAACCTATAGGGGAACATTTTAACCTGGCTGGGCACTCATTAATGGATTTAAAAACAGCCATTCTTCTACAGAGCAATTTCAGAAACCAACTAAAGAGGGAGACCACAGAAATGGCCTTCATATTCAAATTTGACATTATCAGGGATTGAACAAAGTCCTAACTGGATGGGCTGTTATATTCAACACCCAAATGACAGCAAGAGCTAATTATGGGACACTTAGGGTGTGTCTAGACTACAGAGTTTTGTCGACAAAACTATACCTGTGTCTACACTACCACTGAGTTCTGTTGACATAACGTCGACAGAACTCAGCAGTTTTGTCAACGCTGGTAAACCTCATTTTACGAGGCATAACGCCTTCTGTCAACAGAGTTCTGTCGACAGAAGGTGTTATTGCATGTAGGGTTGTGTCTAGACTACAGGGTTTTGTCGACAAAGCAGCTTGCTTTGTCAACAGAACTGAATGTAGTCTAGACGCTCTTTGTCGACAGAAGCTTTGTCGACAGTATCTGTCGACAAAACTTCTGTCGACAAAACCCTGTAGTCTAGACATACCCTTATAGCCCACTCAATTAGTCTCATTTAGCATGGACACTATGATTGAGAGAGTTTCCCCCCTTCTTTTTCTGCTTTAAGTTGGGTGTTTTCTCCTTTTTGTGCCACTCATCTGAAGAAGTGGGTGGTGCCCGTGAAAGCTCATGATACTATATATATATA